TTCCACTCGGTAGAATGGCAACCTTTGAAGATAAAAAAAAGAGAGGTAGAAGAAAACCAGAGAGTTCTTGTTTTGTAGCTAGTGCTGATACGCAAGATAGAACAGAAATCAAAAAAAATCTCTCCCTCGGGGAATCGAACCCCGGTCTCCCGCGCTTGTTCCTTTTGGGATGACAAGCGGAAATCATGACCACTAGACCAAGGAAGATGAGGTTGATCGAGTTACCGCTCGACCACTTGGCTCAATGGTTATTGACTATTTTAATGTTTTGGTAATTATAGCATATATCTTTCTTTTGCAAAGGAAGACACGATGACTGACTGTTTCGGTTGTCATTTTCAGAGAAACAGTCACAAGTTCTACCCTTCGTTCTCATGAACAATAGTATTGGAGTCTTGGAGACTTATACTACTATTAAATAGATCCCCTGCTGCAGGTTGTCTTATTGAGTAACAGCGCCACCGGACATTGCCGTATAGGCCCGGTTTTACACAATGAAGTGCAAGGATAATAATAACCCAACTACGGGATTGTCAGATGTTCCTGACAGTTGGGTTTCTTTTTCACAAGGTATCTCATGGCACTAATGGTGTCAGGTACAAATTACTGTGTTGCGAGCGATACTCGAGAAGCGTGTCGAGAAACTTCTGAGCATCGCATGACGAAGATTTACAGCACCAGTATCCCACCTGAGCGTTTTCATACCTAATTTAACCCGGGATATTTGGGGGTGAGCCGCGAAGATACATGCATTTATCGAATAGTAAGACACTTAGAATGGTGTTCATCTGCAATATTTGACCGCAATGCCGCAGGTAAACGAGTAGCACATCAACTGATTTATCTGCGCGCCCTGTCGATATCGTCATACATTAGATGAATTGCAGAAGGTCCCAAATTAAAGAGGAACGATTAAGGTCGGACCCCCGACGGCTTGACTGGAGATCTACAGGGGACTAAGTCAATTAAAGGGGACATGGGTTGTCCATTCGGATGAGGACTTTCAGGAACTCCACCATAATCGGCAGCGAAATTACCCCTTTGGGAAATATCCCCAGGAACAAGCCGCCCGGTCATCGTTGAAGAACAGTTTATGTTGGCTGCTCAAAGGCCACGATGTAACATAATCATGCATCCTTTTCTATCCAACTGGAATGAAGCTTTCAGCCAAGGATTGATCTTCGCCCATTAGGCAACTCTCGACGGAGCTTTAGCCCGCTGATAGTGATGTCTCATTCCCCTCTTCAGTGGCAAGCGGGCCTCGAAGCATTTGAGTGTCGTCTCCCATGTATATAAGCCAGACATTCCCAGGCCTAAAATTCTCCTTCCGGTGTGACGAGAGAAACTAACTACCAACCTCCTCGTTGTTTATTAGTTTACCCCAAGCCCTCTTATCCTGCTTGTTAGGATGTGGTTCTCAAGCACCGCGTGGTTGTTGCCATTGGCACTTGCAGGAAGCGTCCAGGCGCTGCCCAAAGGTGCCAAAATCGGAACAACAGCGTCCCACGTCAGGAAAGGCGGAGTGACTTACAACGTCTTTGAACATGCTGCCACTGGTGCTAGGTTGGAATATGTCAACAACTCCGGTATTTGTGAGACTACAAAAGGCGTGAATCAGTACAGTGGCTACTTAAGTGTAGGAGAGAACCAGAACATGTTCTTCTGGTATGAGTCCTTTTTATCCATGTCCCAGTTATGGAAACATCTGACCGGATGATCAGGTTCTTCGAGAGCCGCAACAACCCGCAACAGGCGCCGCTCTCTGCCTGGTTCAACGGCGGCCCCGGCTGCTCTTCCATGATCGGATTGTTCCAGGAGCATGGACCCTGCCACTTTGTCAACGGCGAGGATACTCCGTCTTTGAACGAACATAGCTGGAACAGCTTCGCCAATATGCTCTACATTGACCAGCCTATCGGTGTAGGTTTTTCGTATGGAGATGACCCCGTTAATAGCACGTGGACTGCTGCTCCATATGTTTGGAAGTTTCTTCAGGCCTTCTATGAGCATTTCCCACAGTACGAAAGCCGCGACTTTGGTATTTTCACCGAGGTGAGAGATTCAATTAAAGTATGGCGTGTGGGCACTGGAATTGCTAACTGAGCAAGTCATACGGCGGTCACTACGGCCCCGGTTTTGCTTCGTATATCCTGGACCAGAATAAGGCTATTGACGCAGGCAGTCAGAAAGGTGAAAAAGTCAATTTGGTTGCTCTGGGAATCAATAATGGCATGTTCGACTCGACGCTGCAAGAGAAGGCTTACATTACATTCGCATACAACAACACCTACAGACAACTCATCGATGAGTCATTGAAAGACAAGCTTCTGGAGGCTTACGAGTCTGAATGCCTCCCAGCTGTTCAGAAATGCCAGCAGACTCAAACAAACGAGGACTGCCAGAATGCCGGCTCAGTGTGCGGAGAGAGCGTCGAGAATCCAATCATGCAAGCTGGTGGTGACTTTGATGTCTATGATGTGCGAGAGCCATCCAACGACCCCAATCCGCCACAGACATACTCCAAGTACATCGCAAGACCCGACATAATGAAAGCAATCGGTGCGAGGTCGGACTACCAAGAATGCGCCAATGCGCCCGGCCAGAAATTCAGTGCTACCGGAGATGGTCAGTATCTTGATATTCGTTTCCAGCTCACGGTTCTAACTTGAGCAGAATACCGTTCAACCCTCCCAGACTTGTCTGAGGTCATCAAGGCAGGAGTCAACGTTCTTGTATGGGCAGGCACAGCAGACTATATCTGCAACGTCGATGGAAGCATTGCTGTGGCCAACGCAGTTGATTTCCCGGGACACGACGAATTTCAGGGCAAGGCCCTCGAGGCCTATAAGGTAAATGGAAAGGAGGTTGGACAGTTCAAGTCTGTCGACAACTTCCATCTCCTGACGGTATACGACGCTGGGCACGAAGTTCCCTATTACCGTAAGTGCATAATGTTTATCTTTTCCGTGGCCCGACATAATTGCTAATTAACGCAGAGCCGGAGACCGCCCTTCAGGCCTTTACCCAGATCCTGCAGAAGAAGCCGCTTTCCTCTACCTAAAGCCTGTGAAATGAGAAATCAGCCTTACGGAAAGCATTATGAACCAGTACTAGCAGCGTTGGATGGATTCGGACTTGGTAAGGACCACCAAATAAAATGTGACGCTATGCGGCAGTTGGTCCTTGGTCTCAAGTGCCCAAGCCGGTCATATGCTCATGTTATTCAATTGTAAATAGGGATGCAGGTGACAGATCTTGTTGCCCAAAATCTTGAACATAATTTATATCTTCTATCATTGATTTATGTTTCTATATGCTGTCGCAGAGCGTAGATGTCCAAGCCTACGCTGTATAATTCACTCATAACTACCTGCGGCACCAGCATGAGCCTTGCTTTATAGAACGACTGTCTACCTTACCAATATGCCGCAGTAATCTACCATTAGATAGCATTTTGTCAGCGCTTGTCCGCAACAGTCCGTTATTGTGTTATGCAAAAAGAGAAGATTTTATCTCTTGATACTAAGAGCTTCAAACAGGTTTACCGGGACGCACTTGAGCTGCTCAAGTGCCACTCTGAGTCTTGCAACATTTATGCTTGCGTATGCACAACAGATAAAGCTTCCAAGGTGCCTCATAGTCGCTTTTGATTCATTAGTTATGGCACTGCAGGTACTATCAGAAACTCATTATAGTCAGTGATGATGTGGTTCTCCTCAGTCCTACCTCCCCCCAGAATGATAGAATTTGACATGTTTTTTAGACACGATACGAGCAGATATTGGATTTTACTATTTGATGTGAAGATAGACATCATTGCTTGATGAATAATATACAAAATGTCACCCTACTTCTCCTATTTAAATATACATTTCCGATTCGCATTTACCCAGTGCTGTCGATTCTAGTGGCTATGGCTCCGTATGCACTACCTGGACAGTCTCATTCTATCCCAGTCTATACTTCACGCAGCTGCAACTATTAACAAGTTATAATAGCAAAGTCGACGTAGTCCTGCTTACTCACCCGTCTTCTGTAGATATATAAAGAAAAAACGTGGTATGAATTTTAAATTAGTAACGTTTTGTCTATAAATTATAAGTACTGTGCACACTTACAGTAATATGGCACTTTGGCGGAGTGGTTAACGCGATGGCCTGCTATACCCTTTCTGGTGTATCAGTCCAGCCATTCCCTTCGGGGGCGTGAGTTCGAATCTCACAGGTGTCGGTTTTTTATACTTTTTTTTCCTTCCTCTTTACTTAATTTAATTACTTTCTACCTACCTACCTACCCATTCCATTAACCGGAAAGGTTGTGCTTGTTGACTGACTTTCTTGAATATCCAGTCAACTGTGTGCTCCTTGGTATGCGCATATTAGGATTTTCGGTGCATAGCCAGAAAGTCCACAAATTGTTAGTCCATATCCAAAGGGGTCAATGAACCCAGGATCTATGATCCGAGCCTCATTTTATCCACATCTCTACTCCGTGTAGATTTATACTTGCCCGGGAGAAAGTTACATTGTTCATGAATGATCTTGTTCCAAAAGTGTATCGTGATAGGATCTCCATCTGGCTGAACTACCACAAGAACAAATCGATCACTGCTGATAGAACCAAGGATTGTGAACTGGCAACACCATGACCTAATGTTCGCTTCTTCCAACAATATCGTGACGGCGATGATATCGAGCTTAATTTTTGTCGTAAAGAGTTTAGAAAGCCAATCGTGAAGAAAGATATGACCGGGTTCGAGAGATGGCAGCTTAACCCCCTCCTCCCAAATGTCGCGACACTACAAAGGGGGGGTGTGAACTGACTGCAAATACTCCCGGATACTACCCACATTGCACATCTCTCCTTAAAGCCCAAAGAGAGAATAGGGCACTAAAACTCTCCATGAGGATGTACTCAGCGAAAAGATGGCTTGGCTTGTACTGCTTATAACAACAATGTAACCTGGAGGGGTAAAAAGAAAGAAGAGAAGGAAAAAAAGTCGACACCTGTGAGATTCGAACTCACGCCCCCGAAGGGAATGGCTGGGCTGATATACCAAGGGCATAGCAGGCCATCGCGTTAACCACTCCGCCAAAGTGCCTCGAGCTGTTGTATTAGCGCTCATCTTTGAAACAGTTCGCCTGTAAGACAGAACAATGAATTTCATAATATTCGGCTCCCTATATTCTCTATAAATACAACCCCACTACCCTCTGAAAAACGAAAAGTAAACCCCAAAAATTTCCTTTATCAAGAAGATGCAAACCGCGTGTAAAGAGTTCTAGCATCCTCATATAGAAAATAGTAAGAGTCTATCCTCGAGCCCAGCTCAAAACCTGTTAGGTATCACCCCGAATTCACTATCGCGTCCGGCGTCAGTGTGTCAAAGATCGTTTCCGCTTAGAGAGAATATTTACCTAAACAGCTCTGGCCAAGTTGAAACACTCGCAGAATAGCAGAAGGTTCTCATTGACAGTATTGGCAACATACAACAAGCTAGCCGTCTCCATGATCGCACATTCAAAGTCTTCCCAAGGGAAGATCGGTTGGATACTATTGAGTTCTACTGGACACACGTGTATATCGACCCCCAGACAGGCGAAGAACACAACATTTCGGTTGCTAGCGCATCCGACGCACTTCTTATCAGTAAAAGTACATTGGAGAGGCGGATTAAAAATGAAAACAAAATCACAGCTATGAATTGTGGAAGCGCCAGAGACGATGGTAACAGATATTCATCCGCGGCCCCCATGTCTGAGCTCCGGATATTATCCCTTTCTCAGACTAACACCAAAACAACTCTCAGACTAGAAATACATAAAGGAAGAGAATCTTAAAAAGGGATCCCCAAATAGCCCTTAAATCACTAGTCATATGCTAACATAGCCAGTTGCATCCCATTACCCATCTGGTGCTGTTCATAGGCATCGAAGGAGGGCGGGCGTAAGGGTCGCCTTCAAAGCTTTGCTGATGCCTATAAATATATCGGGCATGCGGAGGACATTTTGCATCCCGGGCATCCTCGTGAACCTGGGTTAGAATCGGAGATACAGTCGCAACCATCTATTAGCGAAGCTGCTGCACCGTGTGTCGAAAGTTCGTTAGGTATAGCCCAAAAAAATGAAAACCCAGCGGTACAGAAGGTCACCTCTCTTTTATACCACCTTGCGCCCGATTATAGTCTCCGACAACCTGGTCTGAGAGGATGTACATCGTGCTACAAAGAACTGGGGGCCTGTGTTAGTGCTATATGCGAGCATTTGGTCACTGCCAGCGATAAAGTAGGTTATAGACAAGCCCTTCTTGGGATAAATTCTCTACCGCTTCCTTTCTCTTTAGCTTGAGTCTACCATTCCGGTCCGAATCGGGTTCGACTACGATGAGCCCTTCAAAGGTGCGCCTCCACATTGGGCCATAAAACTACTGCTCGGGAAAAAGGTCGATATTCTTTTACCTCTGTCGCTGCCTGAGGGGTTCAGTCAAGCATGGATTGGTCCCAGACACACCCTTGCTCCAAGGTTGGGAGATGGATTATGACATGCTAAAGTGCGGCGAGTCACAAAAACGGAAAAGGAACGATGAAAGACAGTCCGAAATCAGGTACACACAAGATTTCTACCGGAAGTCTAACCCCATTTTTGAAAAGTTTAGGCTGGCCCCGGTGCTATATATCGAAGATGTTGAGATCCTCTTCACTCAGGATGGAGATACTTCGAGACCACGTCCGTGGAGACCTCGCCGCTTCTCCCCTATATGGATACTTTAATACTAGTGTGCATCCCGGCTATCATGGAAAAGGCGCTATATAGGAAATATACAGATATTGGATTATTTATCAATGCGATTATTATAAAGGCACTACAAGTATCATTCTCTGCCCTGGTAGTACGATCTTCTAAATTCATTTTGTTTAATAACTTCTCTTTTATTTCCTAGGTTTCTAAAATTAAAGTGCTTTCTCAATTCTCTGAACAGTTAACGATTTATGAGACAACTCCAGATTGGAAATAGGACCTAGTATCTATCAAGGAAATTCCTGAAAATATCCAAACAGATAGTGAGCTTAAATACCGCAAGAACCTTGTGGACAGATCGAAGGATACTCAGATGAACCCAAAGTATATCAAATGGTAAGGAAAGGTATCTATACTCTACTTATCCGGAATTCTAAGATACTCCAGTATCCTACCACTGTTGTCACCATTCCGAAGCGCTTATCAACTATGTAATGTATCCTACTAAGCCACTAGATTACCAAGTATATTATTTATAAACCTATGATATTGATATAAGTTATAAGATTTGTGACAGTTCACAGCAACAGACAATATTATATAAGAGATCTGAAACGATTTGGATTATTGATTTTGAGTTTATATGATTAAAGAGAACTGTTTATCTATTTCACTGCAGCTTGCAACCAGGTAGTTAGATAGGAAGCTGCTATGTGAAGAGGAGATCGATTACAGTCTATCTATGAATAAATTTATAAAGGTGATACCCAAGTGTTCATCAATAAAGTACAGAAATATGAAAAAGCTGTTCCAAGCGTGCTATAAAGGTCACAAAACCAAAGGGAAGACGTCACTCCAGGCTAGGGACCAGATTGTTGAAGAGTGCGCTTACATTGCAGAGGATACAGATCCTATCTTGGTTATCGTCCCAAGACATGCAGTGCTACTCCAGATCTTGGCAGGGTGTGATGAGTTGGTACAGAACAAAGTCCCTTACAAGGACCACAGGAATTTCCAGACGATCAACATCGGGTACCTTTGTAAAAAGCTGTTCCCTGGTCTGACCTTACAAGCCCTTCAGACGGCGCACGAATTTGTGAGAGAAAGTGAGGGGTCTTGCGAAGAATACCATACTGCTTCATATGACACTGAAGCGATGGCAGAAATAGTGCAGGTTTTTGTGGAGTTGGTATAAGAATAACAGTGTTCCACAAAGGGAGGCGAACAAAAAAATATTTTAGCATCTAGAAAAAATATTAATGTTATGTTACACAAAACAGATTAAAGTGTTAAGCTAAACAAAAAGAACGACACCTGTGAGATTCGAACTCACGCCCCCGAAGGGAATGGCTGGACTGATACACCAGAAAGGGTATAGCAGGCCATCGCGTTAACCACTCCGCCAAAGTGCCTTGTTGTCCAGAAAGAGACAATGGATATTGTAATAAAGGAATGGGCTCAGGAACTAACCAGGTTTTCGTTAAAACACTAACTGCCAACTGCTTACAACCACAATCTGACCGGCTGAGCCTACCAGGACTAGTAGGCCATTATTATTCCTGCCGCATACCATGGGATGGTTATAGCTAAAAATCTAATCGGTTTGAACTTTTAAAAGTCATTGTCAATGAAACAAACTGTATCAAAAGTTCTGCATAGCGCTAGTCTGTTCCTTGGAATACGATCAAAAGCTCTACAACAGACAATGGCTGATGACTCAAACCCAAATTCCAGACCTTACCAGTGGAGACGACACGAAGCCGTAGGAGTTTGGAAAGCAAGTGATGTTGCCGTTGTTCTACTTATACTTTTCCATGGAATGCAATGGAGACTTTATCCGTGGCCCTTTCCGCTGGCTCGTCATCTATCTACGACCCGTCTTCAACTGAGTAACCGGACTTCCCTTTCTGTATTTTGCAAGAACCATACATTAAAACCTGCTTTAGACTGCGCCTCTATCTCTGCCACAACATCTGGTGTTTCCTGGACTTACTACTGCTATCTTGTCAAATTCTTCTTGATAATATAGGACATCTAATATCTATAAAAATCTGAACTAAGTTCTTAGTATGAATCTACATTTATTTACTAAGCAGTAATACCAACTCAGCAATACACGAGGGATAGTTCTCCAGGTGAATGCAGGCAAGTCCCGGGTGGTTTCTTAACTATATTTTGACACAGCCCACATAACATACGTCTAATTAACAGCAGTCTAAGCTATGGATGCAGGGCCATGGTACAGTACCAAGAGAGTACAGTTATAGGTATCTCCCTACCATCAATAAATAAGTTGACCGTGGCAGTTGATCGATGAGCTACACTCGACGGGTAATTCATTTCATGTCTCATTGGTGGTTCTGGTGACTGGTTTGGATGGATACTCTCTCAGTGCTCTGTTTCTTCGAGAGAATAAGTTTGGTGGTAGGAATATTTCTGATAGTAGACGCCTATGACACACATCTAACATGCCTCACTATTCAACTAGCAGGCAGTGCAGTATTGCTCTTCCTGCCCTAGGACGGAGATAAAACTATTTGAACGATCTAAAACAAAAAGAATATTCTGTTTTTCACCCCACCACACCTACATATTCACTACGGTATTCACTGATCACGCATTCACTGACCATCCTAGCCCTGTCTCTCGCTTCTGACCCGCAGAGCCTTCCTAAGATACACTAATTCACTCCAGACTCCCTCGCCCAGCCCGTAATAAAGAATGTGGAGCTGAAGTCCGTATGCCAGCACATCAAAGTAAAACATCACAGAAACTATATGCCAAAGTAACTTGGCAACACTTATAGTTGGCCACCATAAATGCTAGATTTGGCTCGTTCTTCATGCGAAAACCCTGTCCAATGCTAGGAGTTGATGGACACTTTCGAACGGGCCAAGGCTATAACACGAGGTGGCAATGTGGTGGCTATATGTACATGTCCAAACCCGAGTGCGCCCTAATCCCCATTTTGTATGTGTCCCGAAGCCTAGTGGTGTGTATTTTGGTATGCTGACTATTCAAGACTTGGTTAGAAATGATTGGAGTTCGGACAAAGTTATACTTGACTCAGTTGTTACTGTCCAAAACACGACAAATTATCTCTTCGGCTAACCGACCCATGGTGGCGCTAATACGACGGCTGCATAAATCACACGATCGATGGCTCTTGTGAGTGTGTTTTCCATATCCGATCGAGAAGACGCTATATTTAGACTACTATTTTCGAAAGCTGAGCGACATGGCTTTTACCATGCGAAACGATTATTGAGGGCTCGACTCCTATACGAGTGAGACATTTCGATCCGAGATGCCCGAGGCAGATATATGGGGTAATGATCGACCGTTATTGAAGTGCCAAGTCCAG